TGTCGAAGCGTAGCGGTTTCCCCGTCCTAACATGCGCAGGAATGGAGATACAGGACCGTGAAACACGCTAATTCCTCCATGCTCCGCCCAATGCCTTTTGCGGCGCAGACTCCCGTTTATGCTAACAGCCGTCCGCGCCGCTGCGCCCACTTCGAAGAAGCCCACTTTTGAAAAATTGTGCAAGCGTCAGTATAGAGTAGCTTGCATGCTAGAGTCGCGTTCATCATTCGGAGCAAATAAGTCAGACAAAGTTTGCCCCGAATGACCAATACCCTAGCATGCAAGCTGAGACTATATGCTGCCGATTTGCAACATTTTTGGGAAGTGAGCGGATCCTCTTCTAAGTGGGAGCCTTTCATAGTGGTCGGGGCTTCACGTAGCAGTCCAAAAATGCAAAAATTCGAAAAATATCGAAATTTTGCAAAAAGCCGCAAAGTGAGCGTGGTCAAGAGGGCAGAGCCTGAATTGCCAGTGCATACACTTTACATCACCGCAATTGTCGGGTCGCAATCAGCGGCTCGCACCTGCGGCGTTTCCATCATGGTTGCTCCCTAAATCGATCTTTACCCGATCGCCATTGGTAGAGCAACGAGGCCGAACGCCTTTGGACCGCGTTGCACAGCCGCCCTCCGACAGTCCGCAATGATGAGGACTGTAAGTGCGCGTCTACGAGAAGCTTCGATATGTGAAGTGTGGGGGTGCATATCGTTAGGCGCGGCCGGATTGCCATTGGGGCGCATCGGCAGTAATTGCCACCCACAGTCCGCCGATGCGATGCGTATCGTGTACTGGGCAACTCGTCCACGCATATTAATCTCTTGATTGGCGTACTTGCGCGACCTACGTTGGCAATGTGCCAACACAAGCTACCGATTGCATCCGAATGTACTACTTAAGCATTTTCGTCCGTTTCTGAGTTATCACCATCTTTCGCCCTGAAACCCTTTCCTAATGCTGGTTAGCTACTTAGAAGTGGTTGTATCAAGGGCGCTTTTGAGCTCTGATCTATTCTACTTCGAAGCAGCTTTCAGTTTTTGATGAGTGCTCCTTCGCACGGTAAGTTCAGTTCACTTTACTCAGGTAAGAGTTTGTCAGAAAATTTGTTATCAGTAAAACTGAATAATTCTTCCTGATGCACACCCGGGCTATAGTTGCAATGATCTTCCATTCTGGTTCACCTTTTTTCGCGAGTATAGTCAAATTTTTGCATGTTGGTTTTCTTATTATTTGCCTTTCATGAGATGTGATTCTCATAGGAGGCCCGTTTGCATTGCTTACAAATGGTCATTACAAGTCGTGAAGACCATTTTCGAAAGTGGAGGTAATGTGAAAAAGAGAACTAAAGTATACTTCCGAATCCATCAAGGGGGTTGGAAGTTGCGTCGTAAGGCTTCTAAGTCGCATTTTCAGATTTTCCCACCCTACAGTAGTTTTAGATGTTCCTCATTTTAATCCAGTTCAAGTCTTTCTGTTCATTATGTCATTGTCATTGACGATGTGCGCTAGATTTGATGACTCCACTGGGCATAGCAAATGAGTGAAGGCAAAGTCGCACCTTGTCTACTCCCCTCTGGCCGTAATCAATGAGGAATGTCGTTCTTCAACAAGGTGAAGGTGGCAATGCCAGTTCCAACTCGCAACTAAAATACTAGAAAATAGCAGAATATGAGGGCTGTAAATAAATGCGAATGCAATAAAGGGTCATCAATCGAGGGAAAGGATGAAAGAGCCTGTTGAAAATGCTGTCTATTTCAACAAGTCTTCCACTACAACGATTCAGGCGAAAAATGCAGTCTACCATTCAATAGTGACTAGATTCACTGGTCGTATATTTATATTATGTTATTTTTGGGAGTGAAAACAACGACGTTGAAAAAAGTTATGAAAAATCGAAGTCCGCAACAAATCCCTTATAAAATGGGCGGATTTGCTCGCCCATTTCTCGAAGGATTTGTTGCATGTGCCAATGTATATTCGTTTTCAGCTATGTGTATTTGCGAAATAAACAAAGTACAAAGAAGTCTGAAATGCAGAAGTTGTAGAATAACATTTAAAAAAATCATGACCACGCTGTGGGCGTGGACATAGGGGCGAGGCTCGCAGTATGTCTGGTGAGGCATTTTAAAAAAGTTGCGACTTTGGTTTGAAAAGCCGTAAATTTGGTCCAAAAAGCTGTGAATTTGGTTTGAAAAGTCGAATTCGGTTTGGAATCTCTTGAATTTGGTTTGAAAAGTCATTTTTTAGTCTGAAATATCTTGAGTTTGGTTTGAAAAGTCGTGAATTCCAAGCAAAAATTGTATATTGTCTTTATAACTAACATTCATGATACACCAGTTTTCGACGACTGTTAGACACTTGTCATGTCCTATCCTCAGCTCATTCGTTTAGCCAATTGTTATCGTTTTGTTCATGGGAAGACCGATGCATTTACTTCCTACTTAAGTATCGGGAAAACTGCTTCGTCTGCAAATAGGCCACATTCACGGTGTAATTAAGTTGTTGATCGGCCTCTTCAAAGACAAACCCCGCAATTACGTATTGTGGATAGTGGCGTTCATTTACGAAAATATAGTCGCCAAATGACTCTCCAGGGAAGAAAAAAGCAAAAAAAAGTCTCGAAGATACCTCAAAGGGCCGAAGGCCTGGCAGCTTCCCCTACGGACGGTTTTCCGGCTTGCTCGCTTAAAACTGTCCGCAATCGACTCCTTTCTTCCAGTGACGCAACCAAGTCTAAGGTTGAATAATATGGCTCGAGAAATGTAGTGTGGCCCGCGACAAGCAACCTTGTCGCGGTTTCGCGACAAAAAAAAATTTAAGGGAGAGGGCGCTGTAGCGGAATGTAGCTTCGGTGACCACTCCTTTCTTCCAGTGACTTAGCCTCCAGACTGCGCCCTCAAAGTCCGCCTCTCAGTGAAAAACGAGGCTGCAGGACGAAAAAGCATGAAAATCGTGACTTGCGTGGTCCTAGATATCATACCGGGGAGTCAGCTGTTCGGATGAGGGCGTAGTGTTGAAGATGAATGCTAAATGGCACGTGCAAACTGGGATCAAAATGGGTTCTATTTAGGGCAGTTAGCATGTTTCTTCTGCTTTTTCTTCACTATAGAGTTAGTCAGAATCTTGTTGTCAATGTGTGAACTCCTAGTCCACTATCTGTGATGGCGAATGATCGCGGGTTTTGCCTCGATGCCAGCAAAGCGATATCCTGCCGTTTCTGGCTCAAAAACATTTCTTAGCGTCATGCAATGCTGATACATTGTAACATTGAGAAAAAAGCGAAAAAAATCAAAACCGGTCCAATTGAACTCGTCGCAGAAAAAGCCTTGGATTTCCGGTGGGCGGGACAACTAGGAAGGCGTCAGACCTGTCACTTCTGAGGGGCACAGCGCCTTCGTTACTCGCTGTGAAGCCGCGAAAGTGTTGTAATCTTAGAAACTAAGTACCAGACTACTTGTGCAACAAGGGACGCCCATGGCGACTGTCTTTGCATCGCCTGCACCACACATCATAATAGTACGGCGCTCAGGCATAGCTTCTCAGGAGGTTCTGTTTTCGAATTTCAGAAGTACTGTGAATCTTTTCAGCTGTGGTATCCTGAAACTACAAGACCAAGAAGTACACCAGAAGTTATGCAAAAACTGGTGCAGTTCATGCAATACTGAGATAACGTAGCTCAAACCCGTTGAAGATGCTCCTCATATTTGCATGGTGAGTGTCGCCTTCTCCCTTTTTTCCCAGAATTGCTACCTAGCAACGCGTGATGGTATGCCGCCTTCGATTGTGTTCAGCAACAGATTAAGAGAGGTGGCAAAAGCTCCGCAACCTCGCGCTGTGGCAAAAGCCCCGCACCTCGCGCTGTCATCGTGTTCTTTATACTGCCACGCACGTGGCCTGGTTTTCTGCGCGTCTCTGCACCTCGGATTCTTGACAGGCATTTCATTTTCGACTTGGCCTGATCACTTATCTGTTTTCTACAGTTATTTATAGACATTTAATCCAACTGAGATAGACCGTTCATATGAGGTCGGTGAGGTGTACTTAGTTGCTTCCTAACAACAGAGTTGCAGGCTTTCAAAAGAAGTTGACGTGAGGGATACAGGCAGAGGGAGAGTGTGTCAATAAGTCGCGTCCACATTCAGTGTGGCAGATCCTAGTGGTAGTACAGCTCACAGCACCTTGCTCCAACCCTTGCGGTATGTGACAAGACGTATTTCGCCACGCTTGGTAGGCGTCGAGTGTTTTCCGGGTGTCTGTGTGGAAACAACAGACAATGTATAACCAGAAATAGTCATGGATATCCCATGATGTCGTGGTGTACTTGGAATCCGATGCTTTAATCGACAGAGTAAAGCCAATAAATAAACGTCGCGGCCGTCGTAGCGGAGCTCAATACGATTGGTTTGACCATCTCCCCATCTCTTGCCCTCGAATGTAATGAAATACACCGGAGGATAGTACTGATTGGTGTCAAAGGTCATTTAAATGCATTTACGGCCAGTTAGACAGTGTCGAGATCATTTTCAGCATTGCTAGGGCCCTTGAGGGGCTAAGTCCGTCCCTTTTTTCAATTTAGGCTCTGACAAAAATGATGACGCGGAAATATTAGCCGGATAATTTGATTTAATTCCTGAACGGCCTAAAGCAATAACATATTTGGATGAACTACCAGAAATAATTTAGCACTCCTCTGAACTCACTATCAACATTGTTGCTCCAGCGATGACACCTTCCAAGCGATCCATTGGCGAAAACAAACATTTACAGGTAGTATTAGCTGAAGGAGACAAATTAATAAAGTGTTACGGAGATCAGTGAACGCCCCTCATAGCCTTAAATGGCGAATGAATGATCGGGAGTCAGATTCTGCAAGAAGATTCTGCAGTACCAAAAGAAGAAGACTCTGCGGTATCAAGAGATTCACCAGAAACACTGCAACCGGAGAAAATTCATCAGAACAGATGCTTATTTCAAGTTTAGTTTCACTCGTAACAAGGAGGAAAAAAAGAAATATGTATGGTAGCAGTAGTGGCAAAACAACCAGTGACTAGACTGCGTCTTGATTGAGCTCGTTTCATGCCTCTTGACGTCGCCCCGCCTGATTACCAACTATAAACATTTACGGTAAAGGTTTCTAATCATCTACGCTTTCTTCGTGATCTTGATGTGCAACATGAAGAGGGGCGGGTTCGTAGACCTACGCCACGATGACGTGCAACGAATAGCTGGCATTGTGCGACGAAATATTTTCGACGAAAGAAGAGACATACTAGCTCCGCTTATGAAGCAGAACGAGAATGAGACGCTTGTGCTGGCTGATACTTGGACACTAATGAATTACTGTAGGGGATGGAGTCGGTGAAGACCTAATGGTACAGTTGTTATCGTCGCAATACATCGAAGCGGCGTCAGCAGACGTTTAGCGCAGCGGCTTAGTTTCGTACAACTGGTTGTTTTTCCCCACGGTATCTTGTCATCTGACACACTGTAGTACTTCCACGCTGAATCCACCTTTTCCTGCAAATGAAAGTGATACCACTTGCATGCATTGCATATTAGTCTTCCGAGTCGCAGTCCTAAAGAATACACCGGCGATCTGCATGAAGCAAGATGCCCAAGCGCCAAGCGCAGTTCAAAAGGGAAGTAGAATAAAAAAGGAGTCTTCTGTTAGTGTCAGCAGAGAGTATAGTCTTCGGGAGTGGAAGCTCCTGAGAAGTCGGAAATAGGCTATCTCACGGTACCACTTCTAATCTGAGGAAGCGAGAAGGAAGAAGCCTGAAACAAGCATCGTAAGCGCAACAAAGCACGAGCACCAATGAAGTGCTCTTTTCCAGTGGACAATGTCACTGATGGCCGCCTGCTTCTCA